TGGGCTCGCGGGGCGTAGATGATTGGCGCGCGAGAGAGTGGGTCAGGAAGAGGGGCGTCGGCGTACGTCTCGAGCCGAGCGGAGGGAGGAGAAACACGCACATCACTTGAAAGAATTCTTCGGGCTACCCGGTTCTTAAAATGTTCGCTACCCGCGAAAACAGTCCTGGCCATGGGCGCCCTGAAAGGGTTGAAAAACATTGTCTCAGCGCCCCGACCTGGGGTTGTCTTGGCCCAGGCTCCGACCTCGGAACACCCTTTGTCAGACCTTCGCGGGCAGAGGGGGGCTCAGGATCATCAGCGGACTCATAGCTGACCCGTGGAGACCGTCTCGCCCATCTGCCGCTCCGAGGGGCCGCGAGGGGCCGCTCCCCACGAGTAGTTGCCGTTCGCCATCTCCACCCGCGCATCCACGAAGACCGAGAGCGCCGCGCCGATCTTCGTGTCCTTGTTGCACGCCATCGAGATGCTGGCCTTGGGGGGCTCTCCGTTCTGCGCCTTCAAGACCTGGCCCCTGCAGTGCGGGATCGAGCGGCCCAACCTCGCCGCCGTGGCTCCTGGTGTGAAGACCTCCTGCTGGTAGAACTCCTTCACCTCGTCGCGCAGCTTGACCGCCTGCGCGTCGCCATTTGCCCTCGAACTGCCTGCCCGCGCCGTAGAGGATCGCCGCCATCGCTGCGTGGACGTGCGGTGGTCCGGGAACTTTCCGGTCCACGTCGCCACCTTCGCACTGCTTCTTCGTCATGTCCAGGCCGGTCTTGCTGTACGTGACCCCCCGCGGCTTCCACCGCTGCGGCCGGGCCCGCGTTGGCGTTCGGCACCTCGCGGCGGTGGCACACCGTGCCCATTGAGGTCCGCGGCGTCCCCGGCGGGCGTCATGGCGAGGCGCGCGCGGAGCAGCGCGAGCTTGCCCCCACCTCCGCCGCCGCCCTTGCTGCTGTCGGCGGTGCTGCCCTTGTGCTTCTTCTCCCGGCCCCCATCGTCGCCGTGGCCCCGCTCTCGTCTCGGGGGCGGAGAAGAGGGGGGTGATGACTGGGGGGGGTTGGATATCACGGCGGGGGTCATGATGTTTCCCCAGATCTCATGGCGCCTCTCCTTGCTTCATCACGTCCCTGGCCCCCCCGCTGGGCCGCGCACATGCCGCCGGTCATGATCTGCACCCCCTCCTCCTCCTCCTCCTCCTCCTCCTCCTCCTCCTCCTCCTCCTCCTCCTCCTCCTCCTCCTCCTCCTCCTCCTCCTCCTCCCCCCTCTTGGCCGCTCCCGATCTTCTGGCCGTGCCGCCCGCGGCGCGTGGAACCGGGGGGGCGGCGCCACGTCCCCCCGGGTACCTGCGAAGCGGCAGGCTCTCCCGTGAGGCACGTGCTCTCGAGGCCGCAGGGAGGAGGAGGAGGAGGAGGAGGAGGAGGAGGAGGAGGAGGAGGAGGAGGAGGAGGAGGAGGAGGTGGCGGAGGAGGAAGGAGGAGGAAGGAGGAGGAGGAGGGAGGAGGCGGAGGAGGAGGAGGAGGCGGAGGAGGAGGAGGCTTGCAAAAAAACCAAGGATTGCAAACAAAAATTCCAAATGGACAGGTGATGAAGTAGGTTTTTTTGCAATCTTTCGTTCAAGGTTTTTTTTTTTTTTTTTTTTTTTGCAATCCTTCAGGCGAGGCTCGAGCCGTCGAAAAATCGCAGACGGGGCAAAGGGAGCGAGGTAGCCGGCGGGATTCCTCCCCGAAGCGTCGGCGGCCCCCGTGGTTTCTCGCAGTGTGTCCCCAGAGCATGGAGCCCGGAGCGTGTTCAGCTGGCTGCGGTCGCCCGGCGTGCGAAGACTCGTCGACGGTGAGCACAACCGTTGGCCGGTGTCAGGCCATGGCATCCATTTCGGAGCCCGTGGGTGCCTCTGAGGTGGTTCATGAGACCCTTGCGAGTTCCCCCGTGGTTTCGCAGTGTTTTCGAAGCATGGAGCCCTGCAGCGTGTTTTTAGCTGCGTCCGCCCGGCGTGCGAAGACTTTTGTCGACGGTGAGCACAGACGTTGCTCCAGATTTCGTAATAAAAGGGAGGGGGTCTGGACCCTCCAAGACAAGCCATTTCGGACCCCCCCCCCGTGGGAGAACCCTCCGAAACATCGTCCCCAGACCCCCCAGGCCCTCCAAGAAGATGGCCTGGAAGAGACCCCCCAGATCTCGTAATAAAGGGAGGGGGGTCTCATTTCGGGGGGGGATCTCTTCCAGGCTATCTTGGGGGGCCTGGGGGGGTCTGGGGACGATGTTTTGGAGGGTTCTCCCACGGGGGGGGGGTCTAAAATGGCTTGTCTTGGAGGGTCCAGACCCCCTCCCTTTTATTACGAAATCTGGAGTAGCCGGTGTCAGGCCATGGCATCTATTTCGGAGCCCGTGGGTGCCTCTGAGGTGGTTCATGAGACCCCTGCGAGTTCGGGAGCTAGCTTCACACGGGGCGTCCCTATGTCCAGCATCTTCCGCGGATGACCAGCACCTCCACGGCATGTCAACAGACGAGAGCTCCTCCCCGGGTTGAGCACAAACGGTGCCAGGTCGAACTGGCTGAAACTCTGGAGGGGGGATTGCAACGGTAAACTGCTTAGATTTGTAAGCTGCAGCGTCCACTGCACGAAAAAGCGAGGCCGTCGTCTCATCCATTAGAAGACGGAAGTTCTGCGCGACCTCCTCAAAGATTTCCTGGACCAGCGCCGCGCCAACCTCAAGCAGGTCGTCACGTAGCTGAACGGCCCAGGAGCATGCAGATGTGCTGAGGCCACCTGAAGGTAAGAGTGGACCCTCACGCTCGAAGGGTAGTTCCCCGAACAGAGCTCCGAGAACCTGGAGGTGATGTGTGGGCCGCCGGGCCCAGCTTTGGACCAACCGAATTCGACGAAGACGCATCTCCAGTCGAGGGCCCGTCAGTTTCCAGGTGCACCAGAAGCTCCTGATTCGACATCGTATGGGGATGACTACTCCAGATTTCGTAATAAAAGGGAGGGGGTCTGGACCCTCCACGACAAGCCATTTCAGACCCCACCCCGTGGGAGAACCCTCCAAAACATCGTCCCCAGACCCCCCCAGGCCCTCCAAGATAGCCTGGAAGAGACCCCCCCCGAAATGAGACCCCCCTCCCTTTATCACGAAATCTGGAGTACCACTCCAGTCCGTGGCCTTACCCGCCATAGCCATACGGCAGAAACGCGCGAGAGCGGCCTCCAGCTTCCTGCAGCCGCTCTCCGTGAGCGTGAAGGCCTCCGGCCCGCTGAGGAGTGCATTGTAGGCGAAGCCCTGCAATAGTAGACGCTAAGCGATGCTTAAGAAGACGTAAGGTTTCGGCCAGAGTCTCGATGCTTCTTAATGTTTCCATGTAAATCCTAAGATTTGAATAGAATCTTTGGGTTTTCATTCAAGTTCTGAGACCATGAATTTCTTAACCCATGATTTCTTAAGCATTTCGCAGGGTGTAGACGCCTGCATTTCCAGGGGAGTTCCAGTTGCCAGACAGCTCCCAGAGATTCGAACGATACCCACGATGCCGAGACGCGCCGTTCGATTTCATGGTGAGCACTATCTTTGAGGGCCAAGTGGGGTCCCAAATAGCGCACTTGATCCTTAATGGAGCCTTCCAGATCATGCCCCCCCCCGCCGTAGGATTTGTTTGAGGTACACCTGGTGGATCCCGAAGTACATTGTAAACTCCCGTTTCGACATGTTCTGCTTGAACCCGCAGGGTCCCAGTCTCTGATTCAAGAGGACGTCGTGATGCTTAATCTTCTGGACACATTCTGGCAAGGTCGAGTCTAGATCGGCTAAGACGAAGTTGTGGACATCGTCCACGTACTTGAAATAGCTCAAATCGACCTGGCGATTGTTGAAAGTAGCGAGCAGCTCACCGTGGCACAGGTCCTGCGCACGCACATCCTGGTGCCACTCCTCTATCGGCGGCTTAAAGGTTCCGTTAGAAGCCTGAACGACGAACGGATGTCCCATCAAGCCTCCTTCTGAGGTCTTAGTGTTATTCTCCCACCCTCCCCAGCAGGTAAGGCCACCACACCCTCACGGTATCGGAGTCGGCACAAGCCGCGGTCCTCGGGCGAGCAACATTTCTGCACAGCGTCTTCCATGCAGTCCCATTTCCCACTCGCGAAAACATTACTCATGTCCTTGAACCATAGACTGTGTGTCCTGCGAGCTCGTCGCAAGCGTTGCGAAACAATACTAGAAGTCAAGATGGCTGTTTCCCGTCTTCGGCCCCGCACGAAACCATAGTCATTGTCACCTGGGATGTAGTGACAATTACGTGCAAAAAACGCCTGTCCAGGGACAGGGAGAATATGCACCAGTCGTTTTCCAAGAGGTCCCCGCTTATGACTTTTGTGCAGAGGAGCCCCAAGACTACAATTCCAGTACTTCGGCACCACTCCAGGTGAACGCATCTTGTGTAATCCCACGCCCAAGAGAAACCACAACTCCTTCAAGGCTGGGGCCTTCGAGGGAGCTCCGAGACCCTGCACAGCCTTCCGACGCCAACTCGGGAACATCATCCTATGCCAAAGCTCCAGGGGAGCGCAAAAAATTGGAACCGTCCGCCTCTTCGAGGCAGCGCGGACGTACTTGCGCATCTGAGACATATCCTCCTTATCCTCCTCGTAATTGTAATCCTCGTCGTGTTCCTCCCTCCACCGTTCCAATCCAATTCCGTACACAGCATGCCTCCGTCTTTCCCCTCCAACTTCCACGTCTCAAACCATTCGCCAGCAGAAGGAATGCATCAACGTGCGAGTCTTCCGTCCCTCTTCTTGGGGCCGTGCCGACACGCGGCTGCTCGTCGAGCTGTGGTCATGGCCTCCGTGATGCGGCGCGCTTGCCAGTGCTCTGATGCCTCCGCCGCCATCCGTGCCCTCCTCCGGGAGGAGGAGGAGGAGAAGGAGGAGGACGAGGAGAAGGAGGAGGAGGAGGAGGAGGGGGAGGAGGAGAAAGAGGAGGAGGAACAGGGGCAGGCGGAGGAGGATCATTGCGGGGAGGCATCTACGGCGTCCCGGAGACCAAGGGCACGCCCATCAGCAAGGGTCTCGCGGGCGCCATCGGCACGTTCCCGGAGGCCCTGCCCGATGCTTCGTGCGCCCTCTTCCGCCTTGCCATCGCTCGGACGTGTGCGTTTTTTTTTTCTCGGCGAGGACTATCCAGGAGTATGTTGCAAAAACGCACGAAACCGAGATGCACATGCAATGGACATCCGAGCGATGGCGAGCCGCTGTTGCCTCCTCGGGCCGCGTGCCCCTGCGGGAGCTAAGCCGTGAGATGCGCTCTTCGCCGCACGCGTCGCTCTCCCAAGGGTCAGGCCTGGCCCTCCGACGAACTTACAAAACTCTGTGCGGGAGTTTTCTCGGGAGCGAAAAGGAGGGGGGTGATGACTAGGGGGGGTGGATATCATGGCGCGGGCCATGATATTTCCCCAGATCTCATGGCGCCTCCTCTTATTTTTATTACGTCCCTGGCCCCCCCGCTGGGCCGCCCACATGCCGCCGGTCATGATTTGCACCCCCTCTTGGACACCCCCCTCTTGGCCGCTCCTGATTTTCCGCCGAGCCGGGCCCCAGGACCGTCCGAAAGGTGACCCAGGACGAAGAGCCGGCCCCAGCGAACGGGTCGGGGCTTCAGGAGCCTCGGGCGTGTCCCCCTACGGGCGTGTCCCCCAAAGTAGTCAAAACCCTGCTTGGCACCGCAGGGACAGAGAACACACGAACTGCTGCACGCACATGATTTTGGGTAGTTTCAGCGCGAATTTTACGCGACCAACCAACCTAGCATACACCACGCGAGAGAACCACTCCTTGATCGACAGCATACCAGAAGCTTGTCACAACGACGTCGTGCACAAAGGCAGGCCTGGCGCCACCCCTCTTGAAGTCGGAGTATGGAGCGTATCCAACGCAGCCGAACTTAGAAAGCTCGCTTCGCATATCCTGGCAGTGGATGTGCAGGACAAGATGCAGGTCAATTGCGTCACGATCTAGCAGCCGTAAAGAGACAGCTACTAGATCAAATTCCAGAAGCCGAACTCGTACAATGCATCCGTAAGCTCAAAGACGATTACGCAGCTTGCTCACATATTGTAGTGGCCTCCGGCCAGTGCCGCCGATCCTGGGCGCTCCGGATGATGATCATGATGATGATGATGATGATGATGATGATGATGATGATGATGATGATGATGATGATGATGATGATGATGATGATGATGATGATGATACTGATGATGATGATGATGATGATGCTGATGCTGATGCTGAAGCTGATGCTAATGATGATGATGTTGCTGATGATGATGATGATGATGATGATGCTGATGCTGATGCTGATGCTGATGATGATGATGATGATGATGATGATGATGATGATAATCCCGGCCCCCGCCCAAAACCCCCTCCTCTCTCCTGTCCTCCCCCCTTTCTCCAGTCCCTTTCCCCTCCTCTCTCCCTTTCCCCTCCCCCTCTCCCCTCTCTCCTGTCCCCCCCTTCTCTCCTGTCCCCCTCCCCCTTTTCCAGCCCCCCCCTCTCTTCTGTCCGCCCCCCCCCCTCTCTCTTCTGTCCCCCCCCCTCTCTCCTGTCCCCCCCCCTCCTTCCTTTCCCCCCCCTCTCTCCTGTCCCCCCCCCCCCTCTCCCCCCCCCTCTCTCCTGTCCCCCCTCCTCCCCCTCTCCTGTCCAACTCCCCCCCCTCCCCCCCCCCTCTCCGGCCCCCCCCCTTTCCTCTCTCCTGTCCCCCCCCGTCTCTCCTGTCCCCCCCCCTTTATCCCTCCCTCTCTCTCCCGTCCCCCCCCCCTCCTCTCTCCTGTCCCCCCCCATCTCTCCTGTCCCCCCCTTCCTTCCTTCCCCCCCCCTCTCTCCTGTCCCCTCCTCCCCCTCTCTCCTTTCCCACTCCCCTCTCTCCTGTCCCCCCGCCCTTCCTCTCTCCTGTCCCCCCCCCCCCTCTCCTGTCCCCCCCCCTTCTCTCCTTTCCCTTCCCTCCCCCCCCGCTCTCTCCTGTCCAGGGCGCAGTGCACGGGGGGGGGGGGGGGGGGACAGGGAGAGAGGGGGGGGGCGCCGGAAAGGAAGGTGCAGGGGGGGGCGGTCCCGGCAATGGGGAGGCCTTGCGTGTCAATTCTTTCGTCGTTTGCGCCCCCCTTTTGCAGAGCGAAGCTTGAGCGAGCTCAAGCCCACGCTCTCAGAAACTCACAGGCCGGATCATTTTACAGCAGCCTTGAAGCAGGCCAAGCAGAATGAGGACAACGTCCACAAGCCCAAGGCCCACTCAGAGCCACCATTCCTAACGCCGTCACTGACGAAGAGACGCAGAAGCTCGAGGCGTTACTCAAAGCACCACGCGACGACCTCCAAGCCAACGACAGGACTGGTGCAGAACTCACGGCAGCTCAAGACAACATTGACAAGGAGGCCGGAAAACAACAACTACAAGCAGCCGAAGACACCATGCGACAGTTGCAAGCAGCAAGCGACCACCTGTCCAACGACTACCGCGAGACACGCGAGCACAGACAAGAACTGCGACAAGCAGAGCCACGTATGCAAACCAGCAGGGCGACGGCAGTGCGTCAAGAAGAAGAAGAAGCAGCAGCACAACATGAAGCCGATCGCACGACAGACCAACATGAGTAAATACAGCAACATGTAGAGAGTCCCGCTGAGCAAGCACTCCATTACCACGCACAAGCCCAGCAACTACGGGCACATAACGATCAACCCAGTCCGACGCACCCCGAGCAGAAGGAATCACGAGAGGAGCCAGAGGCGACCGATCCAGGATTGCGACACGGGTTGCACCAAAAACAAGCAGCATGTCATGACCAATGACTCATACAGCAGCAACAACGCGCCGGGCATACTCAGAGCAAGACAAAGGACAGAAGAGCGCATGCAGTATTCATGTCAACGGAGATATGATCAGGACAAATTTCAACAAGAAGAAATGGCCCGAACCATGGCCCATGCGTGCTGATGGTAAGAACAGAAGATGCACTCTCTGGAGCATGGCCTCGCACGTGGAGTCAGACAACCCAGATCGCGCGCGCAGCGTCGCCGCGGCCATGGGTAACCGTGCGCAACGTACGTGGCACAACGGTCACAAGCACAAGCGACATTCGACCATGAAGTCCCCGCAGCGCAAGTGGCAGCGCAGATCGCGCAACGACTCGAACAAGCAGAGCGCAATCTACTTGACATATGCAACGACGAAGAAGCAGCGCGCCTCGTTTTGGCGAGCGCGAACGAGCAACTCAATATGGCCGACCAACACTACCAGCAGCGGCTTCATCAGCAGAACAATGCAAGCAAGGTGCTGAAGCATGCGTGCAGCACCGACGAACGGCTATGCGCGCACGCGTGCCAGCACGCGGGATTTCCGAGAAGTGGCGTAGAGAAGTGGGGGCAGAGTCGACGACGCTTCCACGGCGAGCCAGGGAAGGCCGCGTAAGGAAGCAGCGTTGGCAAGAACAGCGGGTGCCAGACCTCGACCGCGACGTCGGGGATGATACGCGCATCGACAGCGACATCGAGTGCGAAAGGCGCGCCGAAGAAGAGCATGTGAATTCAAACGACAACAACTACATCGAGCGCGAATGGAAGACGAAGTCGACCAGCTGCAAGACGAGTTCGAAGGCATCATGGGCGACGACCTCGACGACGTCCCCGACGAAACCGGCGACGTGGGGGGCGACTTTGCGATGGCGCGCGCCAGCGCGTGCGCGCCGGTGCAACATTTTGCCGACGCGCCAAGCCCGCCGCCGCAAATGGCACTCCCGCGACAAGTCGACCCGCCACCCGGGCCGCCGATTGCGCCGACGCAGCATTGCCCGCCCAGAGCTACGCAGCAGCATACGCTTCCCACAACGCCAACCGATATATACTCAGGAGGTATACCACAAGCACAAGCACCATAATGCAGTGGGGCAGCGACTACACGTTCATTGTCTATGGGCGACGCACCGCAATGCCTTGCGACGCCCGAACAACAGGATACGGTGGAACAGTCGGAGGCATTCCAACGCGTGGCCGAAGTACAGTCGCTGGCCATGCAGCGCAAAGTCACAATCGGATCAAGTCCCAGCGATCTGCTCCAAGCATCTCGCTCGCCACCTAGGTGCGCGCCGCGGCGTGCGCCGACGGAGAATATGAGCAACGACGACGTGGGCGCAAGACCGACAGTGACTTCGAGGTCACTGGTACCAAACGACTAGCAGCCGACGGGGCGCCAGAGGCAGACAGCAGCTTCACCCGACAGGCTTCCCCTGACAAGACCTAAGAGGTCAGCGTTATCATATCGTGGAATCCCATGCCTGACCCGCAGACAGGTGCAGGCAACGCAGGTGTCCTTGGCCCATCCATGCGCAGTGCGCATTAAAACTTCCAACAAAACATCCCGACGCATCTCTTTGCCTCTCTCCAGGGCGCAAGCGGGGGCATGGCGCCGCTGCGCGACTCTTCCGACATGGCGCCCCGTCCAGCTACGCAAGCAGAGCTTGCGTTTTGCAGCCGACCGCTGCCCGCGCGCCCCGCGTTGCTCGTGTGTCCCGATGGCTCGTTGCAGACCGCCGAGGGCGACTCGGCGTGGGCATTCATAGTGCTCGCGCGCGACGACCGCCAATCAGTCGCGCGCGGATGCTTGGCGGGCAGCGCCGCGAGCGGCATCCGCGGCGATGCCGACGCAGGCCACATCGATGGCGCAAAAATGGAGCTACCAGCCATCATATGGGCAATGCTCTACGCCGCGCAGCAACGCCGCACTTGCATGCGCAAGTGCGCGCGGACTCAGCAAACGCTATCCACGCGCTGAATCGGGTAACGCGCATCGACGATCAAATCGCGCGGATAGCATGCGCATTATTCCACTTGGCGCGCAAGCGACATTCCATAACCATGCTCCACATTCGTTGACGCGAAGTCCACGCGTGGAATGAGCTTGCAGGCTCACTGGCAAACAGGCGCGCACCAGTCTCAACTCGAACTCAGAAGAAGCAAGCGCAACCGACCCCATATTCCTCAACCAGGCGTGCTTCCACAGTGCCTACGAGCAGATCATGAACACATATGCGGGACCAGTCGCCAGAAAGGCTAAACCAACGACCGCTGCGCCTCTCCGGCGACTCAGCCAGGCGGATTTGGCAAGTCGACCCACGCGGCCCATCAGCCCGCGCCATTCGCCGCGGCAGCTGGCGAGCAGACCGGTGCCGACGTGCGCCCGCAAGCTGCGCCCGCGACCGTAGAGGACGAGTCTTCCACTGCCCGCCTCGAGACTGCCACTTATGACGCACGGGGGGAAGGTGTGGGCGCGACAAAAAAACGACCTACAACGGGGCAAGCATGCGATCTAATCACACAAATGAGACTCTTATGAACACGATGTCTACAGCAGAAGGTTCGCATCATGGGGCCACGAGAGACTACAGCCCGAAGCGACTTCAGCACTGCCGACACCCACGTGCAGTTTTTCTTACGCCACGCCGCTCTTCCACATATGGGTGCGGCTTGCTGGTCCGCGCAGCAATGCCGCGCGCTGCCGCGCCCTGGCGACAGCTCTACTTCAAGTGCAAACGCTTCAGAGTACTTCGCGCTTCCCACCGACTGCTCGTCATCAATCCACGGGCACCACTTATGCGCGAAACCATATGTCGCGCGTGCACCTCGCATGCAGCGCGACGACAGACGCGCTCCCGGGCGGTGGCGCATTCCGCAGCCTGGCCGACAAATGGCCACCTACGATCATGTTTGCAGAGTTCAGCGCAATAGTCAACGCAGGCAGCCCGCCGCGCGTTGGCAACGCAGCGCCGCCAACTCGCCGGCGAACAGGCGATGGCGACAATGCCTCGCAAGTGTGACGGACTGATGCAGCCCGCGGCCCTGCGCGCGCTGGCGCGCTGATGCACCGCGCGCCTGCGCTCGCGATTGGTAGCAAAAGAACAGCAGCAAGCTTGCGAAGCATAGACGCGAGTGCGCTGCGGTTGCCAGCGACTGGCTGCCATGCGTGAGTGACGAATACGTCGACCACCGCCATGGCTCAGGAGCAAGAAGCGATGGCCTGGGCCCAATGTGCTTCACCACCGATCACAAGCCACCACGCACCAGAGCGAGAAGGAAGCGCCAGCTCCGTATGAGACAGCTCAGACGCAATACCCAAACAGTCAGGCCCACTTTGCCGCCCTTCTCGGCGACCAGCCGCTACCACCTAGTGACGCAACTATCAACCAGCACTGTGAATCAACGTAACCCTCGTTGGCGCGAGGCAAAAACAGATTGTGAGGTTGTCCCAACAGCATCATTCCAGCCCCGCCTACATTGCTAGTCCCAGCTAGGTTTACCAAACACGCTTACCAACGCAGCGTTTTACACTAAGGGAATCTACGGTAAACATCACTTCGCAACAAAGTTATTGTAAGTCTACCGAATAGTAAATTATGGAACTACAAAAAACGACCGTGATTTTTTAAAAAATAATATTATATCTCAGTAAAAGATAAATTAAATTGTAATAAAAAACCATATAAGATAAAGTGATTCGGGTCGAACTATGTGCTAGCAGCTTGAAGTAGATTGTGTTCAAGTGTAGCAGACGAATGTCTGAACACTTTCACGCACCTGGTGGGCCACCGGTGGCCCCATGGGGTCGGCGACTTGCGGTCCTATCGTTCTCCGTCACCATCGCGGTTGTCGTGGTTTCAGCAGCCATTTCGGCGAGCAAGGTCTTCTGTCTTCATTTCTTTTCGTTCCACAGAACACCCCACTCGTCTGCCACTTCTTCCAGATGGCGGACAACGAGGAGAAGCTCGAGAAGCCTCTTGTGCCTCCTGCGGCTAAGCCGCCGACGCCGAAGGCGATGAAGAAGGCCAAGCCGAAGGTTCCGCTCGCGCTGCTCACCACTAGAGAGCAGAAGGCCGCGGTGAGGGTGATCACCGAGTTGCAGTCGGAGCTCGTGGTGTGGAAGGCTGCAGCTCGTGAGCAACGTCGTGCAGTTCGTGAGCAGCTGCGTGGCAACAAGGCCATCCGCAACGCTCTGACGGCGCTGAAGAGCAACGCGTCGTACATCCTGAGCAAGGGGCCGCCGGCCGCGACGGCCCTCCCGAAGGTCCGCAAGATCAAGCGCCTCAAGAATGTCTTGAGCATCTTCAACGGCAAGAAGAGCAGCGGCGGCGGCACGGGCACGACGGCCACGGGCGCGAGCTCTTCGGCAGCGCCAGCTCCGCTACCAGACAGCGAGGAGCCACTGGGCCACTAACCTCACGGCCTCGCACGAAAACGAAGAGGATAAGGAGGAGGACGGCGATGACGGCGATGACAGCGATGGTTGTGGTTGGCCAGGGGGAGGGGAGCTTGAAGAGGAGGGGGAGGAGGAGGAGGGGTGAGTAGGAGGAGGCGGAGGATGAGGAATAGGGGGAGTATGAGGGGCACCCCCCGACCGCCGAAGGAGCCCGTGGGGGGCGACGAGATCTCCTCCATCGTCTCGGAGAGCGACGACGACTCGGGCGAGGGCGAGGATGGCGAGGATGAGTCGCTGCAGTCGGACTGACGGCCGAGGGATTAGGTGAGCAGTCGGCTCGACTCGACTGCCAGTCGAGCCATCGGGCCATCGAACTATCGAGCTCAGCGAGCTTTCGACTCAGGTTCTCGATCGAATCGGTCTGTCGGCCAGCAGACGCTCGCAGGTTCAGGTTCGGACCAACGTTCTCGTGGGCTCTCGCGCTGGATCTGCATCCCGCAACGGAGGGTCGAATCGGATTCGGATTTTAACTAGGCTCACTGTCTAGTGCGAGCGTCACTCTGCTCGACGCGACGGGGGCAGTCGGCTCGGAGTACGTGCAGGTGCGATGCGCGATGCCCGAGAGACTGCAGGGATTCAGCCTCGTCCTGACCTCCAGCTCTTCCTGAAGGCTCTTCCTGGGCTTCTTCCTTCTCATCCTCACCGCACCCTCACCCTCGCCGGGGTCCCTGGTCCTGGCACTCTCCTTAAGCCTCCTCCTTATCAGCGTCCACCTCTACATTCCGCCTCCACCGATGGGGCCCATGGGCCCAATGGGGCCTCGAGAGCCTGGAGTCTGGAGGTCCTCATCTTCACTGTCATCTGCCTCCGCAAGGTTATTGGGTTATTGGGTCATTCCATCACGCCCATCACGTGCGTAGCCAGTTTTGGCTCAAATCATGCATCACCCGAGTTCGATACAGCGTCGAACAGAGTTGTACTTGGGACATGTTTGCCAGCTTCGATCTGGCGGGCGCGTTGTGATTGCGGGGGATGCCCTCCGCGGGGTCATTGGTCAGTGCGTGCCGTCTAACCAGAGACACAATGCTGCGTGGGGTAGGCTAAACAGACGTGGGAGCGTGGTGGAGCCCAATGCAGAGTACAATGTCGATATCGTGTTCGACCTGCTCGTGCACGAACTGGGGTACAGCATTCCTGCCGACGACTGGGCCGCGATCGTAGGCAACTTGACATCCTTCTTGCAGCAGCGAGCCTCTGCTGAGGGCGTGGTGGTAGACATTTTATCTGACGAGGAGCCGACCAGCACGATGCCGCCTGCAGAGCCTGCAGAGCCAGCTCGACGCCGTCGGATGACTAGGGCCCAGCGTCGGCAAGCGACGCAGAAACATAAAATCAAGATACTGTCCCAACGAGTGAGGCGCTTGAAGAAGCGCATAGCCACCTTCCAGGGTGAATTAGAACAGTTGCAGGATACGAGTAAGGCAGATAAGCTGAGCGTGGAGAAACACAGGGGCGGCAGACGGCTGCGCGAGCATAGCCGCTTCGCAGTCGGAGTCTTGCGGAACGCTGCGAACGTGGCTGGGTGGACATATGGAGTTTCGCAGCGTGTCGACCTGTCGGGACCTACTGTGTATCGGTGCGAAGTCGACACATGGGCTGCGCTGCTCGCTGCATCGAGATCCTTCCATGCTGCTATTCTTCAGGAGTGGGCTGACTCACCGACGCTGGGCGGTTCGCCAGCGGACGTTGCAGTAGTCTCGTTCATGTGCGACGCCACCAACAGCTCTATCTGGCAGCGCAGGAAACTACAAGGCATGAAAGTGCGCACGCTGGTCGTAGCAGACGCCCGTCGCATCGACGACGACCCTCTCTGTGCATGGGAAGACGGGTACGCAGAGATGACCAGATGGGCAGATTGCCAGCCCGTCGACAATTCATCAGCTGGTGGGACATTAGCTCTAGTGAGAAAGCAACTGAGAAGTGTCGGCTGCCCTCTGTGGACAGACGTTGACGATTGGACGACAAAACACCCGAACACAAATTCGCTGTTCATACTTTCATGCACTTCCGACGGCGGGTCCGACCAGAAAAAAGCCAGGAGACAGTTGCGAAACTTGTGCGGCCCGATTCCGAGGATCTTGTTCTTTGACACAGACTGTTTCGCACATGCGTATTCACTGTTGGTGTGCAAGCAACTTTCTCTCATTGACGTCTATCTCAAGGCGTGGGGCATTCCTTGGAGGTTCTACGGGTCGCTCGCGAAGATCATGCTGTGTTGGCGCGAGGTCGCCAAGGACGTGTTCGCAGAGTGGAGGGCCACGTGCGGAGACGCGGCAGCCATGCGATGTGCAAAGAAAACGCCGCCGAGGTGCTTGTCAGGGCGGTGGGGTCCGGTCGGCGATTGCATTGACAGGGTCCTCGAGGGCGGGGAACAGTTGGCGAGGGTGCTGATCTCGGTGCTGACTAAGAAGACCAAGAAGGAGGCAGACGCACCCCTGCCAATCGCTGACGACTCGGGCCTCCAGTTCAACGAGGTCTCGATCCAGGAGCACGCCGAGCACCGCCGAAAGATGGGCAACTGGAGGCGAGATGTATGCGACGTGTTGGTATCGCCGCTGTTTTGGCAAGTGCTCAAGTTAAACCAGATAGAGTTACAGCCGTTACAGCACTTCTACAATTCCATGCGATCGGTGTACACAACTGATCAGCTCGACGCCAAGGGGATGCAGTTAGCGCAGCTGGCCTGCGGAAGGGCCAACGAGTTCTTTGTGGAAATCGACGGCGCGATGGAGAACGACAGGGCGCTCGACTTGTTGGCTGCTATCCCAGATAAAGCCGACCAGAGCCGCCTGACTGAGATGCACTGGGCGGTGGTTCTGCAGAATGCCGCTGGCTTTCATTGGCGAGTCGTTGAGCCCATCAATCGATACCCGTACCGTCTCCTCCTGCTCGGCAAATCGAGCCCGTTGCAGATCTGTGCGGAGAGGGCTGAGGTTGCCAGGGAGCTGCTGTCTACCAGCCCATGCGACTTGGAAATTAACGCGAGGAAGGTTGCCCACTTGTACAGAGATTGTTTGAGGATAGCTGTCGACCGCGGTACTTGCACACCGCGCTTGTGGTCATTACTGAGGCTGCTGAAGAGGTCGGTGCTCTGCATTACTCAGGAGTGCGAGGGCTACAACTCAATGCTGAGTGAGGAGTGCTTGAGGTCTAGGCACATCAGTTTGGAGCTGCTCTCGTCGAGGGTCAACGTCAAAAAGGCATTCCCAAAGCGTGGCAGGAAATGGTCGGAATTACAGCCTACATGTACTGCAGTAGTCAATACTGCGCACGAGTACGTTGATGACGTCAAAGCCATCGTTCGTGCCACGGGGCGGTGGTCAGCGCCGCCTCCGATAGCAGACTTGGCGGGCGAGAAGGAACTAGCGGCAGCTCTCAAAGATATCGACCCCAGCCTAAGGCCGACCCGAGAAGTGGCATGGGTCGTCCCTTTCAACGCAGCATGGGTACGATCTCAACGACTTGATGGTGTGATCAAGGAGTCCAGGGGCGTGGCTGCAGAAGGCATCGGTCCAGGTGCGTCTTGTTTTGTACGAGCAGACCTGTCTCAATATGTTGGGTACCTGGCAAGGGCTACTATTGGGGAAGATGGTTCCGCACGCTTGGTGCGGCCTTTGGACATCGTGACTTCTTACAGAGCTTTCGAACACCAGCACCACGAGGTACCCATCGATCTGGGATCCACCGTCCGCCTCGTCTCCCGTCGCCATGCACCCCCAAGGGACGGGACAGGGCTTGGGCGGGGCGGGTGATCATCGTGATCGCTCACCGCTGGGCGGGGGTGGGCGGGGGTGCACTGGTGATTGGGGAGACGGGGCCAGGTGGATGCGGATCGACGGGTGGGTGGCCTGTAAGGTATTCGTCAATGGACGTGAGCCCAACCTGCACGACTTCAAGGTCAACGTCTCATTCGACGAGCTGGCGAGGAGGATCTCGGCGACTCCACTCGGCGACGAGCATATGAATCTAGTCTGCCAGTTCGAGAAGCGCCCGTGCAAGGGACCTCCTGCCATCGCCGAGGGGGGCGTTGACGTTGGCGGCGATGGCGACGCTATGGCGCATGCTGGAGCGCATGGGGTCCCAGATGGACATGTCGATCCTGATGTTGAAGCTGCAGCTCCTGGTGCCGACGAGGCAGCTGCGATGATTCTTGATGCGGCTGACCATGTGGACGATGGTCTGGCTGCCGACCTGGAGGACATCATCGACAAAGCAGCCGCCGACGAGGCTGACAAGAAGGAGCGTGAGGTTGTGAAGCACTTGTTGGACGCAGCGGCAGTGGACCCAGAGGCCTTGCCAGATGGCGCGGCCGAGGATGGAGAAGAAGCAGAACGTGATATGATACTAGATGCAGCTCTCGAGGAAATGGCTGGCGACATCGAGGACGTCGAGGGGTGGCGAGAGGCATTCGAGAAGTGGCTGCCGACCGCTAAACACATGATGGAGGTCTTGCTTTGGGCGGAGGATGCGACCAAGATGCACCCTGTCGGCCACGGCGGCGAGCTCTCCCTCATTCTCGCTACCCCGAAGGAGAAAGGTGAGGATGAGCCAGTCGTAGTGCACCCAACTTTGGTTCATTGGTACGAGGGCGGGCACGAGCGTCGTGGCAGCGTGGTCAACTTGGACAAGCTGAACAGGGCAATTTGGCCACTGCCCCTGAACAGGCCTAGATGTTTCAAGGGCTGCAGAATCCTGATGTTTGCTGTGGGCACGTGCGCAGAGAAAGACAAGTCAAAAGGCAGGCCCCTCGTTGACGCTCGCCTGCTTCGACTGATCGATATGTGGAGGCTTGCTACTGTCCTGCCAGTTGCAACGGACTGTAACCGATGCAAGCAATCCGAGTGCTCGGGCCACGAGCCTCACGTGTGCTCGATCTGCCAGCTCAGCTGGCACGTCGCCTGTGCGACCAAGATGGTCGCGTTGGCTAACCGTGACGGACTGCTCAGAGAGCACGCCCAGGTCAGCTGTTCAATACCTGGGGAGTTCACGGTATGCTTCTTGTGCGAATCACTTTCGTCGTTGGCATGAACTGCAGAGCCACGTACTTGACTGTCGCAAGCCTGGCAATGGCCGCACGCCGCATGGCGGAGGTCAACAACATATCAACAAACAAACAGCACATCGACACAATAATCGTTAACATCCTCCGCATCGTCCCTCCTCCGCCTCCTCTTTCTCGTCATCCTGCTCCTGCTCCTGCTCCCGCTCCTCCTACTGCCCTACTCCTCTCCCTCCTCCTCCTCCTCCGACTTCTCCTCTTCCTCTTCCTCCTCCTCCTCCTCCTCGTCCTCCTCCTCAGACCCCTCATCTGGCAGAGGAGGGAACCCCATGGGGCCCATGGGAGAGGGAGCCATGGGAAGAGCCCTCGAGTCCTCTGCCCCGGCCCGCTGCCTTAGTGCCACAGTGGGGCACGCGGGCCACGCTGATTATGAAAGAGGATCGGGTAGTTCATAATGGTGAGCCCTGGTTGGGCATTAACAAAAAACATGAAAGGGGACTGACGTCGCGGTACTATTTTTGTGTGAGGCCCATCATACTGAAGTCGAATATCAACGGGAATCGTTATGAACCAGCTAACAAAACATCAACGTTCGCACGCGTCCATTATGAACAACGTCTCGAAACATAGCGTGCGCAGTGAGCCGCATCATACTTCAAACGATCATTTGTGAGGCTGCGCATAACCAGCACCATGAGTATTATGATGACCATCATAACATACCCATTGCCAGAATGACCATCGTCATACTCATCACCATGGCGGTTAGGAGGGGCCTCATAAGATGGCGGTCCCCGATATGACCACACTCATACACCACACCATGCATTATATGAGGTCCATCATATCATGGTGGCGCATGTTATGATCATCATCATAACGAGGCAGGCGTTCTATGAGGTGCCTCATATCCGTACCCCCCCTGGTATGACCCCCGTCACAACCCGACCATGCGCGGGATGACCTTGCTCATAATCACAGGCTCGTGTTTGTGCCAACACATATGGTCCACACGTTGACCTCATAATCGCACTAGCTGTTTTAGCTGGCCCAAGCCTGTTCAGGCGAGTAGTTCTTTGGCGTTTGAGTTCGTACTGGTGCAATTTCTTTTTCGACATATGGAGGCGGCACTGAAGGTGCTGATGCAAAATGTGTCGCCAGAGACCTTGTTGGCGGCGGCATCGGCCATGAAGACCGCCTCGGGCGGCTCTGGCTCTGGGGGTGAGCCGCCGCCTGGAGGGTCTGCGGGCTCCGCGCCCGCGGCGCCGCTGGCCTCGCCGGATTCGCCCGTGGGCGTGGCGACCGCGGCGCCCGCCGTGGCGCATGCGTCGCCGCCGCCTGCTGTTGCTCCTGGTGCCCATCAGGACAGCCTCATTGAAATGACCTTCCGCCCCCGCCCTCACCCCTCGCCCCCGCTCGACCCAGCCAGAGGCCTCCAGTCGCGAAGGGGGCGAGGAGAGGCGGGGGGGAGGGGGCGCGGGCCCCGACGGTCAGGGGCCCAGCCCCAACGGCCCAACGCAGTCACTGGGTGACTGTGTGGGGGGGGGAAGTGGGGAAGCGGAGCGAGAGTCCGATCACCTCTCCCAGGGAGGGGTGATCAGAGACTGGCTCCGCTTCCCCCATGCGCCCCTCGCATATACCGCATATACCCCCTTCCCATTCTCTCTTACCCGACCCCCTCCTCCCGCGTCCCTCACTCCTCGAGTCCTTGAGTCCTCCTTCCTTCCTCCTCCGCACTTCCCTCCGCCTCCACTTCTTTTTAAGTGTTTTTTGTCGGCCCTGATCGGCGCCCAGTGGCACTCTTACCTTATCCTTCCACAGGCCCTGCAGGATAGCTTCGAGAACCTCGAGGGCTCCATGCGCCTGGACTGGGTGATCAATAAGTGAGAGGTGAAGGGCTTGGAGCGCAGGGTCCTCCCGCACGACTCCAAGGGCGAGCAACAGATCTTCAGGGCGAAGGTCAACCAGCGCAAGCAGATGACGGCTTCACGGGCCTACGCGAAGAGCTTCCTCGCGAATGGCATCGTGACTGGCGGCGTCACTGGCTCGATGTGGCTCAAGATGTCCAAGGGCAACGTGCCGCCGTGCTGGGCCATCACGTGGGGCACTCGCATATGCGACACCTTCTACCCCATGGCGGCCAAGCATTCTGACAACAAGTTCGTGAAGTATGCCAAGGAGAACGGGTTTTGCAACGTCATCTTGTTGTCCGCCGACATCGACCCGAAACACGAGGAGTGGGTGAAGACGTACCACAACAAGTTCCACGGTGGCAGCGAGGTTACGTTCGACGAGGTGGTCAACGACGCCTTGGAGCTTCGCAGCATGTGGTGTGCGCACGCCTATGACTCTGGATTGATCGAGCGCTCCCGTGACCAGGAGGGGGGTGGATATTTATCTAAGATGTGGAATTTCCTTAAGGACCAGCCCAAAGCTTCGCATTTCGAAGGGCACAATAACAAGTTCTTGAAAGCAGGCCGCCTTGGTGACAAATTGGTGAAGCTCAAGGTCAAGGACTCCGTGAGTGAGATGCTTGGCGAGTACTGCGACTACCTGAACAAAGATTTCCATATCCATGCCGTCATCGGCAACATGCACGACGTGGTGAAGATAATCATGCTCAGGCTTGTGGCCCAGTAGTGGGGGGGAAAGGGGGAAGGGCAACGAGAAGTCGCGGCTGTGTGCCGCCCTCTTTTATGATGGTGCCGCCTTCTGCTGAGGCAAAACGCTTGCCGTCTTGCGCAGGTGGCACATCGGCAGACCACACGACATAAATGGTTACCATTCCGCTGTAGTGGAAGCCCACCCCCCTTGTTGCCCTTCTACCCGCTCCCCCTCCACTCGGCGCCTGCCAGGCTGAAGGGCTCCACGCCAGAGAAGCTCATTGCGAACCTCGTGTACGAGTCGATGAAATTCATCGCCCCCTTGGCCAGCGACGACGACGACATCAAGGCGCCGTGGGTATTCGCTCCGAAGGCGCCCATCAGCCTTCAGCACTTGCTTGACCTGCTGGTCTACCCCGTCGAGGGGGCGAAGGTGCTCAGCCTCATTTCCGTGCCGCCTGTCATGAGCGAGGAGGCCAAGGCGAAGGCGACGGCCGCGCCGAAGAAGGGCCCGACGCGCAGGAAGCTCCAGCAGATGGGCGACTCCGTCGAGCCGCCCAAGAAGCCTGCTACCGACACTTTCGGTCAGCGTGTGCTTGCATTGTAAATCTCCTCCACCGCCCCCGTCGCAGTCCCGATCCAACCCCGCATCCTCCGACATCCTCCTGAATGCCCTCCGCCTACAGCTCATCCTCCTCCTCATCCTCTTCCTCCTCCTCCTCCGTCAGAGCTCATAGCCATCCTGATCATAAGCCTCGTATGCTTATTCCTCATCCCTCCTTCCCTCCTTCCCCTCATCATGCCAATCACGGTATTCCCCCAGCACCCTTCCCCATCGTCCCTCTTCTCCTCGTCCTCCCTTCCCATTCCCCACTTCCCCACTCCCCCCCTTTCCCATCCTCCTCCTCCTCCTCCTCCTCCTCCTCCTCCTCCTCCTCCTCTTACTCCCCCCATCCTCTGTCGCCTCCCCATCCCCCTGTAAACCTTGCCACCTTCCTCAGATCCATCGGGTAAGACTGCGATCGACGTGGTCGGCTTCTTGTTGGCATCTTCAGTCAGCGCCGATATGCAGTGCGAGCCTGGAGTATCTAGCACAATTTCTTTCGTCTCGTCGGCATGTCTGGAGTTCATTTGGACTGGCAGCGTGACTGTGCATGGGAAGAGCATTACTGGGTTTGCTGCGCTGTACTCGACGGCGAAGCAGATGCTGGGCCAGCACAGGGAGGTGTGCTCCAAGGGCAACAGTACTGCTCGGCCGAAGGACGGGGGCTCGGCCACCATGTTTATCGATAGCGACCGGGCCATCATCTCAGAGAAGATGGCTACCTTCATCGACAACGAGGCGAAGTTCGTAGCCCTCAAGGCCTTTGCGAACCAACTGAAGGGCTTGGGCGCGACCGACCACCCTGTGATTCAGAGCACCCTCTTCAAGATCATGGCCGACCCGCATCTGACGGGGGAGATTACCATCGAGCGCATCATCGACTATGTTCTCGCTGTCGCCGATCAGGCATTCCCGCCCGAGTGGGCCGAGACAGCGAAGGAGGTGCTGCAGCTGGGCAAGGTGCCATGCAGCGTGGCAATGATATGGGGTGACATTCATGAATTATTGCGCTTCGGCGCGTTTCGGGCCAAGTTGATGATGCAAGCGATCGCGTTCATTCTCTCGAAGCCTGGCATGACCACTACAGGTGTCGACTCCGCGGGCATGAATAACCTGAAGGCCGAGCTGACGACCAACTGCGACGTCCACATCGACGCTGTCGGCTCCCACGACATCAACCAGGCGAGTAAGGGGGCGCAGAAGAGCTTCTGGATGGGCCTCGTCGCGTCCCTTGGCAAGGACTCGCATGCGCTGAGGGAGTTGCCGAAGTGGAAGCCACCAGCAGCGGAGACCGCCGATGGCGACGACAAGAACGGCGACAAGGGCGACGCGAGCACCGATGGCGGCCCCGTCGAGATCAAGACTGAGCCACGCGACGACAAGGGCGCCGCTATTTTGCGTGCAGGTGCCCCTGGTTCCGCGGCCAAGGAAACCAAGGTGCTCGTGACGGAGGTCGTGACGCTGTCGGACCTCTACTCCTTCAGGATGACGGGGCCGACCATCGACGTGCCCTACGTGAAGATGATCGAGGCGGAGGCCGAGAAGCAGATTTGGACGTTCTACAAAAGCCACTCGAGCAATTGGAGCAATATCAAGGTGTGCTTTCGCTCGAAGCAGCCTACTCTACAGGTTGACTTGAGCAGCCAAGACCTTCGTTTACCGTTCGCTGGCAGCGTGACCACGCAGCCGACCAAGGACGGCATCCTGCTCGGAGAGTCGTTCGGTCTCCAGTTCTACCTGGTTGGGGACGCGAGCCTCTTCGCGGAGGTGTGCATTCCAGCCTACATGGTCAAGGTCGTCGACGGCGACGCCGAGCCGGCGATGGAGGTCTACTGGCACGACTTGACGCTCAACATTTTGCCCAAGGGCCACCAGAAGTCCCTCAAGGAAGCTTCGGCGAAGACCCCGACTCTCAAGGTTCCCTGATGTTCTCGAAATTGAAACGCACTGGAGGAGTTTAGGTTTGGATGGGGAGGGTAGGGTGGATACGGAGGAGGATGCTTTGGAGCAAGCTGCTTTTTCCATCGGAAGCTTCTCGGCAGGATCACGATGCTGAGGTGGTGGTGGGGCCCACCACCACCGCCACCTCAGCAAGTGGCCAAGGGAGCGTAGTGAGTCGGTGGTATTCGGGTGCTTGCCGTTTCTGTGAACTCGAGGGGGTTCTCATTTGGATGTCGGTCGTCCCTGGGTAATCGGCGAGGGTCGTTCTGATGTCAATCGTTCCAGGGTCGTCCCGACGCGGTCGGATTTCTTCTGTGCTTTGAGTTTCGCCAGGTGCCAGTGTTGAAACCGACGGTGGCTGCGACGTCTGAGTCCGAGCCTTCTCGCTTTGCCTTGCAAGGCGAGGTTGCGAAGAAGCGGGGCAGGGGCCGCGCCGCCGACGGCGGCGGCTCCTCCAAGCCCGAGCTTCGCTTCGGCGTGGCGGCCTACAAGCATGCCCTCGCGGCTGCTGCTTCGAGCCAGGGGGCGGAGTCGACCGCCGCTGCCAACGGCGCCTCCGCCTTTGGCTCTGCTTGCCCCGCCTGGCTCGATCCCTCGCTTGTGAAAGCGGGCAAGCACCTCTTGCGCTGAGTCGTCGCCAGGTGTGCCACTCCACTGCCCCTCCGAAGTTGGACCAGTTGGAAGTAAATCAGGGGAAGGAGGGGGGGAGAGGAGAGTCAGGAGAGAAACATAAATCGATGACGAGTCAGATCCGGAGGAGCTCGGAGTTGCAAGGGCACGCAAATTTCGTGATTTGATTTTGTGTTTGGCGTTCTCGTTGGGCCGCCACGCCCTGTTTCCGTGCTAGGTATATTGCGAGGGTAATGCAATACCATGCCTCGCCGAACAGGGTCGCAGGCGGGGTGCCTGGCTGCCTGGCGCCCTTTGCGGCGCCCCTTGCGTCGTCGACTCGCGGCAAGCGGCGAGTGGCAGTGCACAGTTACACATATGCACATGCGAAGCGGTGCAGCAATATCTCCTCCTCATCCTCCTCCTCCTCCTCCTCCTTCTCCTCCTCCTCCTCCTCCTCCTCCTCCTCCTCCTCCTCCCCCCACCCTCCTCCTCGATCTGTCCTCCTCCTCCTCCTCCTCGTCCTCCTCCATCCTCCTCATCCTCCTTCGCCTTTCATCGGCGTTTCCTCGTCACACTTCTCGGGGCACGGCCTCGGGCAATCCCTGACCAGTGAAGTGCCAGTGATGCTATGCTCGGTGTGCCTCCTGACTTTGTCGCCAGTTTCTTGCTGGCGATACCTGCCTCTGTTGTTGTGGGTGAGTGCCCTCGCTAGCTTCGGAGAGGTCGAGGTGTCCGCCTCGGTCTGATCACTGCTGTTGCTCATTCAGTGACTGAACCAGCCCCGCTCGGAAAGCTTGGAATCCTTGAATCCTTGCCAACCGTCCTGGACTCATTGTCCCAACGCTAAGGCATCATCCTTGGAATCCTTGCCGGCCCAGCGGGCGTCAGGAGCTTGCGTCCGTGGCAATAGCAAGCATCATCGTCATAGGCAGCACCAACACCATCATCATCATCATCGTCATCAGTAGTATCAGCATCCTCATCCTCATCTTCACCATCATCATCACACTCATCGTCATCGTCATCCTCATCATCGTCATCATCATCATCATCATAGTCATCGGCAATGGTCCCTGCCTCAGCCGCCTCAGCCGTTGGGCCCATTGTGCTCAGTGCCAGTCTCGGTCCGACGTCCCCGCCGCCGCCCCCGCCGCGCGCGTCGAGCCGATCGAGGGAACCCCATGCTCCATGAGCTTGTTCGACCGCCCTAGCGTGTGGGACCTCACGCCAGAAGAGCGTGCGCTCAACAGAACGCTCCAGGCTCTCGAAGACAGGAGACGGGCACGGGCCAAGGCGGCGCGAGAGGCCGCCGCAACTGGGGTAATCGCCATTGGTGATGATGATGATGGTGGTGGCGGTCGAGGCTGTGTCGCGAGGGTGACGCTGGCTAAGCATCAGCATCGGGGGCGGCACTCGCGCACAGCGGGTTGAACCCGTCGACCTGGGGGTGCCAGGGGGCCGTCGGAGGGGGGGTGAGGAGCAATGGGGTTGGGGGCGCTGGGGATCCCCGGGCTGACGGGATCAGCCGTCTGAGCGCACGCGTCGGCCCCCTTCTCGGAAGCTGCCGCGCAACAAATATCTGTTGCATCCTTGCCACACGTGGCTTCCCAAGCTGAAGAAGTCACATTAAAGTAGATAGTACTTCTTTGATGCGCGTCCGAATTGGATAGACGACTGCGTCGAATATGGGGCCGATTGCGATTGGGTAAACAACATCATCATTTAATTGTTACGCAGCATGGCACTACATACTGCATGGCCAAAATAGCGTGGTACAGTATACCAGCTTAGCATAGCACATCGCACCATAACCTGTCGCACGATGTCATGTAGTCGTTTAGGGTAGCAGTGTATGGGAAGACAAGAAAAGGAGGGGCGAGGAGGAGGAGGAGGAGGAGGTGGTGAGTCGTTCGGGCCCCTCTGGGTTTGGAAGAGGCAGAGGGAATGGAGTAGGTGGAAGAGGAAGAGGAGGAGGATGAGGAGGAGTAGGAGGAAGGAGGACGGGGAGGAGGAAATGAGGATGAAGGGGGAAGGAGCGAGGGGAGTAAAGGGGGAGGTGGAGGAGGAGGATTGCGCTGTGAAGCTTCTATGCCTGCATCACACGCAGTTTGGCTTCACAAGGCCACAAGTTACGTTGATTCCCAAACCAGCACCACCAATGGACCACCCACGCAAGCCACGCAGCAGCAGCATGAATCTTCCCGACAGACGACTTTGCATCTCGATAAACCTATACCACTGAGACCATGCATCTCATGAGTCTCAGGCGACATGCCACAGCAGTCTGACGCCCGAGGAGGGGTGCAAGCACTACCGCCATGCTGCATGACCTCGGCAGCGACTTTGCACAATACTTAACAGGAAGGCTGGCCGACCAGCTCATGCGCAATCGCAAGCATCACCTATCACTATGCGCAGCCACAGCCGACCAACGCTGCAATGCAGAGCAA